TTACGAGAAGGGAAGGATTCAGTTTGCCAGCCAGCTAAAGCCCAAACCACGTCGTGGTGATGGCAGGAAAGGCTTGAACTCCCAGCTGGGGACAGGAAAGTGTGAGAAGGTTCAAAAAGGGCCAGTATCTAGTCCTGTCTCAGGGATAGCGACTAGACTTCAACTAACTTGACAGTGGCAATCAGTTGGTCGTGGCTGCCTAGAGAATTCAAAGATAATGCTGAACCCACATCCTGACTCAGTAAAAGAACGAGTTCTGTGATTGATTAGCAATGTCTGCCATGGGTGCAGAATCATAAAGTAGCAGCCCAGTTGCCAGCTTATTAGCCCTCCCTGTTGGCTCCATGGAGTCCCTGAGTGGTGCAACTTGGTAACATGCTCAATTAGCAATCGAAAGGTTGGCGATTTGAACCTATCCAAAAGCACCTTGGAAGAAAAACTTGGCACTCCGCTTCCAAAAGTTCACAACTTTGAAAACCCTATGGAGTGCAATTCTACATTTGCACACATGGGGTCACTATGAGTCAGAATTGACTTGACAGGATCTGTTTTTGATGTGTTGTTGTTGTTGTCAGCTCCATAACATGGCAGTTGAGACTCTTCCCAAATGGGCCACAGCCTGATCTCCCACTCCTCAACCATCCCACTCACCTCCAGCCCTTTAAACCTCAGCTACATGCACGTGTTAAAAGATTCTCTGACCGTGTCTTTGAAGACTATGCTGTTACATGCTGCGGGGGGCCTGGAAGATTCTTTTTCATTTCTCAAAACTCAGTCCTGGCATCACAATCCCTGATCCCTACCTTGACAGAGGGAATCACTTTCTCTTCTGTACGTCACAGTCAGCAGAGCTATTATGGCTGACTGATTCCCAGAGCTGGCATGGGCCGAATTCTTTACGCGTCTCATCCTCACAGCACTTTAAAGCCCACTGCACTGTGTTCACTTTACAGATGAGGACCTGACTCCGTGCGACATTAGGACCTTGCCCCAGGAGCTCAATCAGGCACGACAACTAGCACTACCACCCACATGGGGGCTCATAGGGGCTCATGCTAGAACTCCCCGCCTGGAATAGTGGAAATAACTCAGACCTTCCGAGCCTGGTGGCGCAGAGGTTAAGAGCTCGCCTGCTAACCAAAATTTCGGCAGTTCGAATCCACCAGCCGCTCCTTGGAAACACCATGGGGTAGTTCTACTGTGTCCTATAGGGTCGCTATGAGTCAGAATCAACTCATCAGCAACGGGTTTGCTTTTGGTTTTACAACCTGACAGAGGTGGGTTCCCTTCCAGGGTCTCGCTATTAGCTGTGTGACTTTGGGTGTGTAATGTAACTCTCTGAGCCTCCTTTCCCTCACCTTAAGTAACTGCCTATGCCTTACAAGGGTTGTGGGGAGAAATAAATGATGAAGCAACTCTGGAAGGAGAAACAGACACGCTAAAGCGACTCTGGAGGGCCTAGGATGTCTCCTTCCCTGTCCGCCATGACTGTGTTCCACCTTCTATCCCGTGACTTTCCCAGCACTGGCTGTCCGGCTGCCTGAATGCCCGCTTCCAACAGTCTTCTGCAGGTTTAGGTCAAGTCGGCCTTGATTTGGCCAGCCTGCCACTGCCAGGCCCTGGTTAGAGCAGGGGTTTTTTTGTCCATGCTTCTTAGATTACTCATAATTTCCTGCAAGACTGCACCATGCCTTTCTTAAGGAATGGGCAGCCCGGACATTATTCCCCAAGAGGTCCTGAGCTCCACGCGCTGGGGTCAGTGACACCTCTGCAAACTGGTCACATTCCCAGGGACATCTCCTCCCCAAACAAGGAAGGGCGTCCTCTCTGTAGTATTTCCAGGGGAAGCTGATGCCCCCCTGGCCCAGGGTCTTTGTGTTGGGGAGCACTCCAGGGCCCTTTCCATTGATAAGTGCAGTGAGGGCCTCCTGGGCACAGCAGAGGCCCCATGGTGCCACGAGAGACACTGTCCCTCCACCAGCAGTGGCAGGCAGGCCCCTGCCCTTCCACAGAGCTGCAGTGGGCATAGCAGACAGTTACAGCAGAAGGAGATGCATAGAGTTCAGAGGAGTGCCACTCTGGAAAGAAATTGCAGGGGGCGCTAACGTGGCACCAGTACCTCTCCCGTGGCTGGCCCTGGGCTGAGGCTATTTGCAGATGTTATTATTGCATTGACCCGTCACTCAAGTCCTAAGAACTAAGTGCTATCATTAGCTCCATTTTGCAGATGAGGAAACTGAGGCATGAAGAATAAGTCACTGGAACAAGGCACATGATAAGTTAGCCAGCCACCCAATATCCAGATCCCCTAAGTTTGACTCCAAAGCCCTGACACTTTCTTCTCTCAGAGCACAAATGAAGGGAATTGGTTCTTATTACTTGGAGTCTGGCTTTCCAGCTCCTCCTTAGACAAGCTCCACGCCCCCAGCCCCTGGATGGGTAACCTCCTGCCTTCTCTGGTGCCCAGCACAGAGTTAGTGAGAAAGAGTCTGAGCCTGCAAGACAGAGGCCAGGAACCAGCATGTTCCTAACTGACCCTGCCACCCAAAGGCCATCAGCAACTGCCACTCATTTCAGGAAGCCACACAGCACTGTGGTCACACAGCCCATTCCTTAGGGCAACAGGGACCCAGGTTGGAGTCCCGGCTCCACCTGCCTCCAGCTGTGTGACTTTACGTAAGTTACGTCACCTCTCTGAACATCAGTTTCCCTGTCTGTGAAGTCGGGAAAAGAATCCTTACTTAACAAGGTCGTTGTGCAAATTAAATGAGATAAAGTATATATAAAGCGTCTGGCATGCAGTTAGAGCTGAATTAATCCTGGTTATTCACATGAGCTCCCCATAGGCAACACATCCCAAACAAAAGCAATCATCCCCCATCAGCTGCTTCATCGTCTTCCAGTATCCTTCTCCCTCACCAAGAACAGAGGCGAAACATCTCTGAGCAAGAGAGAGGAAATAAACAGGTGTCTTAGTCATCTAGTGCTGCTGTAACAGAAATACCACAAGTGGACGCCTTTAACAAAGAGAAGTTTATGCTCTCACAGTCCAGCAGGCTACAAGTCCAAATTTATGGCGTCAGCTCCCGGGGAACGCTTTCTCTGTCAGCTCCGGAGAAGGGTCCGTGTCATCCATCTTCCTTTGGTCTGGGAACTTTTCTGCGCAGGAACCTCAGGTCCAAAGGACATGCTCTACTCCCGGCACTGCTTTCTTGGTGGTATGGGGCTCCCACACATCTCTGCTTGTTCTCTCTTTTATATCTCAAAAGAGATTGGCTTAAGACACTATCCAATCTTGCATACCTCATCAGTATAAGTGCCACTAATCCATCTTATTACATCATAATGATTGAATCTACAGCACACAGGGAAATCACATCACATGACAAAATGGTAGACAATCACACAACACTGGGAATCATGAGCTAGCCAAGTTGACAGACATTTTGGGGGGACAGTTCAACCCATGTCACTAGGTAAGCCCTGCCTGCTCCGTACAATTGTTTACTGTTTCATGAAATGAGGAAATTCTCCCCTCCCCCCACCATCTCCAACTTCCTGGGCTACAAGAGCCCAGCCGGGAGGAAAGCATTTGCTGCTACTCTCAGGTGGGCATGTGGGTAGGAAAACCAGGTGGTCCCTGGTGCCCACTGGTGTCAGGGCCTGAGGAAGGAGAAGAGGAGGCCCCTTTTCTTCACTGATGCCAAGGGGTGAGAGGTGAAACGATCTTGAATTTTCTTACAATGGGGCTCACATTTGAATGTACTTCTAGGAGCATCCAGGATATGACAAGCCAAATGCACAGAGCAGTTGTATCAGGGGATGGAGGGGACCAGCCCATGATTTCAAGGAGAGGACTCAATGTTTGGAGAGTCCCCAGATGTCAGAGACAAGAGCAGCCTGCTGTAAGTACCCTTGTGACCATTTAGCCAGGCCAAACATCTTGACAGTGTGTGTCATGGAGCCCTGAATTTCATAGACCTGCCGACATAGACATGGTTTCTGAGATCACACAAACAACCTCTTTCAGAAACTTGCAAGAAATGGTTCCTTGTCTCAAGGCTGCAGGCAAACAAACCAAAAAACCAAACCGGTTGCAGTTGAGTTCATTCGGACTCAAAGCAACACCATGTGTGTTAGAGTAGAATTGCTCCACAGGGTTTTTATGGCTGTGACCTTTTGGAAGCAGATTGCCAGGCCTTTCTTCCACAGCATCTCTGGGTGGGCTCAAACTGCCAAACTTTCAGTTAGTTATCCAGCACTTAACCATTGGCATCACCCAGGGATGAGGCCTGAAGTGGCTTCAACTGGCCAGGACACGCCAATCGGAGTCATCATGCCTTGAGGGACAACCAGGACTACTCCTGGATGGGCGGTGTCTAAGGGAGGAGGAGGTGGCCAAGCAATGAGAGGAGAAGAAACCATATTACCTGCTGCTTCTTCAAGAGCTAAAGGCTCCCCTGCCTTTACCACCCCTCACGCATAAGCAATTCAGAGTCACCCAACCCTGTTCCAATGGGGTGGTTGGGCCCGGTTCTGGAGCCAGACTGATTCCAGATCCCAGCTCTGCCACTCACTTACCATGTAACCTTGAGCAAGTCACTTAACCCCTCTAAGCCTGTTTCCTTTTCAGCAAAATGGGTACAATGAAACTGCCTCTTCAAGTTGTCCAATGGGCTGCATCGTAATGAACACGCCTGAGGTGTGGCACACGGGCAACATCTGTATGGCATTATTATTTCTCATAAGCTCTTCTGATCCAGGGCGAAGAGTTGAGCTGACCCTCCTCTTCCTTCCCCAACACCCCACTTGCTGCCAGTGCTCCCTCCAGGGGCTTCTTCCTTCTTCACAGCTGCCCCGTCCTCAATGTCCCTTTCACCCCAATGTCCCCTGCAGCCTGCATCGTGCCCTAACTCAACTCATCTTCGGAAAGCATCTTGGGGCGCACACGAAATGTCTCTGCACGATCCTGGTGTGCTGGAAGAAAGATCTGGTTCTCTGCTCAGAGGCCGAGAGGGACTTGGACAAGAAGGTACAGCTCACGTGGAAAGTGAGTTATGTCATCTGGGAAGTGAGACCTTAAACTGGGGGTCGTGGCCAGCGGGCTCCAGTCCCAGCTCTGTTACTAGTGCCCTAGGTGACGTTGGCCAAATGCCCTCTCCACTCCGGACCTGGTTCTCCTTTGTAGATTCCCCAGCTGGACTAGAGCTGTGGATGTCTAACTGCATTGTTTAGGGACACCTCAGTGTCCATGGGGCCCGGAGGACAAGGCCTGTTTTATATATTGGGGCTCCACAAATTTTCATTTGAAAAAAGCCAGCTCTTGCAAACCACTTCACCGGCTGTCATGGGAGTCTGCCCAGACCCTGGGCCGAGTAAGGAGGAGGCAGTCGGTTAAGGGGTGCTGAATGAATGAAGGGAAACGGGGCCGTAGAGATGGGAAGAGGGCAGGAAACACAGGGAAAAAGGACAAAGAAGAAAAAGCTCATAAGCAAGAAGGGTGGTGTCTAGAAGAAGAAGGGGTGAGGGTGGGATGGTGGGGGCCTCCGGGGCCTCCTGGCACCCATATCATTCTCATAAGGGTTGGCCTGGACGCCAGGAGGGAGGGGTTGCTTTCCTTCCTTCGACAGCCCCACCATACTCTGCTTTGAATATCTGATGGCCCCGCAGGAAGGACAGCGCTCCCTGGATCGGAGCAGGGAGCGGTGGAGGCAGAGCCGCTAATGAGTCCCCCTGGGTCCCCTCCTGCGGTAGGGAGCTGTGCCTGCATCTGGAAACCAACTGGGCTCTCCCTCTCTGCACCCGCCCCTCCATCCAAGCCCGTTTGTTTATTCCAATAGAAGCCCACACCAAAGGAGCCGCAGACCTCACTATGGCTGATACCCGGAGCTGGGGTGCCAGACTGGGCTCCGACAGCAGGCTGCCCTGGCCGCCCTCCCACCCATGCACGTGCCACACCCTCCGTCTACCGTCCAGTCTGCCCAGCATTTTCCTCTGACAGAAGGACCTTCTGAAGAGATCTCAGTGCTCAGTAGTGATAGGGGCTGGCATCTGCCGCCTCCATTGCCTGGAAGATAAAAAGACCCATTTTACAGGTGAAGAAAGTAAGGCCCAGAGAGCAACCTGCCCAAGTCTACCCTGCTACATGGGGTAGAGCAGCACTTGAGCCCAGGTCTTCTGATTCCAAAGCCAGCGTTCTTTCCAGCAATAACAACCGCTCCTATCAGTCCTTCTGTCATTCATTTGCATTTTTAAGTCACAAGGCAAAAAAAGGAACAAGCTAGAAATAACAGAAATCTTAAGACAGAGATTCTCACAGTGTCAAGTCAAAGGGGAGTAAGATTCCTCTGTATTTCTTACCACTTTTAATCCCTCAGGGTAGCTGTTTCATTATCAGTTTACAGATGAGGACACTGAGCCTCAGGGAGATTAATGAACTTGCCCAAAGTTTCCTGGCAGCAGGCCTATCAGAGTCCAGAAGATGTGTCGTTCCACTTCCCCTCGCTGTCTTCCACGGGCCCGGCTATTTTCTTTGCTGAGGAGGACACCAGAGGAATAGATTCCTGTCCACAGGGAGCTGGCAGTGTAAAGGAGGTGGTTAGAATAAAGTCACGTCCTGTGGGAAGGTCCCTGATTCCCCAGCCCGGGCCCAGTCATACACGTTCCTCACACCCTGTCCCTTCCCTCCTTGGCGCGCCTGTCATTCTACGTTGGTGAGATTGTCCATTTGAGGTCTCTCGCCCTTTTCTAGAGTGTGCAGGCACCAGGTCTACTTTGCCCAGCACAGAGCTTGGCACAAGGAGATGCCCCATAAACACTTGAATGAACGAATAAATGAAGGATGAAACAGGCAATGAAGTGGGAGGGCAGTGAAGAGAGAGGGGGAGGGGCACAAACGCGGAAGCCTGAGGAAGAGTGTAGAAGAGAAAGGTTTTACTTAAGCGGGGTCCCTGGGTGGTACAAACAGTTAAGAGCTCGGCTACTAACCAAAAGGTTAGAGGCTTGAGTCCACCCAAAGGTGCCTTGGAAGAAAGGCCTGGCAATCAACTTCTGAAAAATCAGCCATTGAAAGCCCTATGGAGCACAGTTCTACTCGGACATACATAGGGGCCCCTTGAGTTGGAGTTGACTCAATAGCAACTGTTTCTTTTTAATTTAAGTGTGGGTGGGGGTTAGAAAGGCAGCAGCCGATATCTACAGCAGAGTTCGCAGGCAAGAGATGAGTCCAGCCACTCTTGGGCAGGCTGTGGAAAAAACAGGGGACCCAGCTCAATTTCCACCAGGTCCCCAACTTGCTGGTGACCTGCTCAGGGCCTTTACCCCTCTGGACCTCAGCTGTTTCTGCTGTAAACAGTGGGGTTGACTGTGCCGAGCTTTGGAGATCCTTCTGTTTCTAAAACCCCGCCACTGGCCCCCGCCGACAGCTCTCAGGCTTCTTTCCCCCAGCATCAAAGCCCCTGGAGCCCTGAGCCCAGGGCAGGAAGAGCAACTGGGGATGGGGGCTGGCTCTGAGGGGACCACGTGGCTGCCAGAACCTGCCAGACTTCCCCTGAATTATCCCAAGCCCCCTGGGGCCCCCGCACCCTTCTGTGTCACCTTTGCAGCCACAGGCCTGGGCTCTGATGAGTTTGGTCACCATGAGCCTCAGTGTCCCCATCTGTGACATGGGGCAAGGAGCTTTATGTCCCTCTTGTAGTCACCGTGAGTCCCAAGTAGAGCCATGTCTGTGCAAGAATTTAGTAATCAGTAAAGCTCTGTGCACGAAGTAAGACACTAAGATCAAAAGAAGAGAAACTTGCCTTTGAAGTAGCCTCCTCTCCCCAAAGCCCCCCTTCTTGTTGTTGTTAGATGCCATTGAGTCTCTTCCAACTCATGGCAACTCACGTGTTACAAAGTAGAACCACACCATAGGATTGTCCTGGCTATAATCTTTATGGAAGCAGATTGCCAGGCCTTTCTTGTGTGTTGCCACTGGGTGGATTCGAACCGCCAACCTTTTGGTTAGTAGCCAGGCTTACTCCCATAAATGCCACCCTGTCCTGGGGCCCTGACCTCTTAAGTACACCTTCTCCTCACCTATAAACTATCTCATTATCCAACATTTCGCATTTACGACAAGTAAAAAATGTACTATCTTACTATTTTGTGCATTAATAACATATGTCTGGCAGTAACGAACATCATCGAGGTATAAGGCGAGAGTACCGCTGGCTGTGATGGTTAAGGTTATGTGTCCGTTTGGCTAGGCCGTGATTCTCAGTGGTTTGGCAGTTATGTAATGCTGTAGTTATCCTCCATTTTGTGATCGGATGTGGTCATCCTCCATTTTCACATAATACCAATTTCACATAACAGCCTGGTCTTTGGAACCTAACTATGTCAATAAGCAAGGAGAGGGTGTACTCCCAATGTCAGTGGCAGCAGCTTAAGCATTACTTCTTTCTATGGGCGTGTTAATGGGGGAGAAATTCTCTAGAAGCCAAATAAGGGTTCTCAATGGGGTTTTGTGACAGTAATGAAGGGAGCTTTGGTGGGGCAAGCAGCCTCTCAACTGCCTTCATTCAGCTGCCCACTCCGCCTGGTGCAAGCAAAGCTCTGGGCCCAAACGTCTGCTTTACCTACAGCATCCCCTGAACCTTGGTGAGTTGCCCTGGGTGGGGAGGAGGGGTAGAGCTAAGGCAGACACAAGTTCCAGAATGTTCCTTGGGGAACATCTCGTGCACCTCTCACTGTGCAAACAAAGACAAGGAGCCTTAAGAGTGTCTGTGAGCTGCTCAGTGTCACCCAACAAGTCAGTCCTGTCCCCCACTCCCAGCCTAGTGTTCTTTCCTAAGGGGCTCACCGACAGCTCCCTGGGGTCACAAAGATGTGTGATGTGAACCGTGGCAGAGGTGAGCAGCTCAGATGGGGTCACCCACCAGTGCATGCGAGCATCTGAGGGGCCCAGGGGCTACAGAGCTTGACCAGGTATCTTCCACCTTGGGGGACTCAGTGGATCCCATATCTCTGTTCTGAGGGCTTAGATTTGGGAACCAAATTCAAGCTTCAGAGCCCTGAGGTTGAAGGGGAGCATCCACTATTTGGCTGCAAAAGAATTCCTGGCAGGAGGCGAACACCTTCCATCCCTAACAAGGTATCAGCTCCTTTGCTTTCCAGCTGCTGGCTACTCCCCTAGAGCCCCAGTCCCCGGAAACAACAGCTCTAGTTTGGCCTCGGATGCCAAAACAGTGACCCCTGCTGGTAGCCAGATGTCTGCATCTCCAAGTTCTGACACTGGGACACCTTAGGGCAGTCTGAACAGCAAGATGGGCAATGGGTAAGACGGTAGGTAATTGAATAACCATCGGTACCTCATGCAGACAGCAAAGTCCCTGAGGGAGGCCCCTTTCCCGGTCCTCTGGGGCCCTCGGGTAGTCCCCCAGACTTGCTATCTCCAAAGCACTTTCATCTGCTCAAACTAGGGCTTTCTGATGCCGAGAGCTGTTCTCTTCCCACTCACTGTACTCTGCTGTTTGTGCAGACGGGCCCAAGACAAGCTGTCCTGAAAGGCAGAGCCTGTCCGGGGGTGCTGAGTGGTTTGAGCATTCACTCTACTTCTATCAAATTCCCCTTCCCTTGGGGATATCAAAGGATAGCTATCAGATTAAAGTAATTCACACTCAGGTGTAGCTAACAGTACTTTTGTGGTTGGGGTGGTGAGGAGGTGGGGAGGACTACCTTCTAAGGGTCTTGTTGTTTTTGGGTGCCGTTGAGTCTATTTCAACTCATAGCAACCCCATGTGACAGAGTAGAACAGCCCCATAGGATTTTCTAGGCTGTCGTCTTTACAGATCACCAGGTCTTTCTCCCTCGGACCTTCTGGGTGGGTTCAAATCTCTGGCCTTTCAGTGAGCAGCCTAGCACTTCACTGTTGTGCCACCAGGGCTCCTTTTTTTTTTTTTGTTGTAGTTTAAATGAAGTTTATATTTCAAGTTAATCTCCCATACAAACATTTTTACATACATTGTTATGTGACCCTAATTGCTCTCCCCGTACTGCAACAGCACACTCGTCTTTTCCACCTGATTCCCCATGTCCATTCAACCAGCTCCTAACCCTCTCTGCCTTCCCATCTCACCTCCAGACAGAAGCTGCCCCTTTAGTCTCTTGTATCTACTTGAGCAAAGAGGCACACTCCTCACGAGTATCACTTTATGTCCCACAGTCCAGTCCAATCCCTGTCGGAAGAGTTGGCCTTGGAAATTGTTTTAGTTCTGGGCTGATAGAGAATCCAGGGGCCAT